TCAAATAGAAGAAATCTTTAATATAATTGGGGAAACAACTTTTTGCCTAGTTAAATTATTCAGAATTCATAAGTTTGAAATTTGATTGGAAGCAAAACCTTTTGGAATTCTTTTCCTAAAAAAATAAAAATTGTTTTATATGTTTTAAACAAAGGCAGTACAATATTTCAGAATGTATGTTCATGATGCTTAGGATATATCCTTTTAGGATGTGGAAGGGTTAAATTCAACATAGAAAATTACCCTGACACTTCACACAGGCTTCTAACTTTAGTGTATTGCAGTGTTTAAGACTGTGAGATGCTTGGATGTCATTCATTCATTCATTCATTCATTCATTCAATTAAGCAGTCATTTATTCAGTAGGCATTGCTGGGTTGTAGCCTCATTCCCAGGCATTGGGGACATAAAAATAAATGAGACAGAAAGAACCTTGCCTTCATGAAGCGTACATTCTATGAGGAGATAAGCAATGGACAATTAAACAAACAACATAATGACTACAGAGGGAATAATCAGGTTTTGAAAGGGAGCCAATTTAATCAGGGTGGTCTGGCCTCATTGGGGAGGTGACATTTGAACTAGGTAGCTTTGGATATCCATTCTGACACTTAGCCATGTGATGTTGGACAAGTTACTTCTCTGAGTTTCAGTTTTCTTGCCTACGAAATGAAGATACTTAACACTTGGAGATAATGTTAGGCTCAAGAAAGATAGCAGTGGTAACACAGGGCTCGACACATATTAAATAACTAGCTAATTACTATTTTATTAAGAAACTGTAAATATTGCTGCACAAGGATCAGGAAGCAGGTTTGTTCCTTATGGTGCATTCTGCTTCAGCCGCACAGATCATTGTTTCTCTGTTGTTGGCAAGTAGAATCACATTCTAAGTCCTGATTTACTAATTTGCTTTAAAAAAAGCTGGAGAGGCTCCAAAGGAAGGCTTGGTTCCTCACTAGCAAGAGTGCTTATCAATTGGTTGTTCAGATAAGGTTGCCTGAGTCCCAGTTACGCAATTTCTGCCTCTTCCATAATTTACACGCCGTCTCTTTCAGGAACCAGATTCTAGCCCAAGTTGAAACTTTTTGTACTCTGAGAAATTGAATTTTAGGCGACTTTCCATCTTTTTCTCCTTTTCTCCAAATGTGAGGTCAAAGCATGAAGAACAGAAGGGTTTGCAGAAGGGAAACAGATGTTTCTGTTCATTTCACAATAGTAGAGTTGGATGGAGATGGAAGAGCTATAACAGCGTCCAAGACAGAACGCCCCTCCCCCCCCAACTACCCCAAGGATTTCAGGCTCCTTCCTGTTTTTTAAGACTCCTTTGCTCCAGAGGGTAGGTGTTCTCCGATTTCCCTCAGTGACCCTTCTGAAGATCTCAGTCTTGCTGATTATTGTTTTACAGGCAGCAGGCTCAGCCAACAGCCATTCATACTAGTACTTATAAAGCTTTGCTAATCAGGGCTACGGCTTTTCTCCCAGCAGTTCATGCTTGGTGCCCCCAAGTTAGCCTGGTTAGTCCCCCTCCTGCTTGGTGCCCCCAAGGTAGCCTGGTTAGTCCCCCTCCTGCCCTGGTTTATAGTCCCCACTTATCTCTGTTCTGAGTCTGCGAGGCTTTCCCAGCCTCCCACCAGCCTTCTCCCAACATTTTCTAGTTCTCAACCTTGTATGTTCTCTTTCGTTCTGGGTCTCTATGTCCCAGCCATGGGTACAGATCTTTTTGGCAAGCAGTCTGGTCCCTCATTTAGGAATTTCCTAGCTGTTTTTGAGCAGCTCTGAAGGCCTCTTCTGGTTTTATACGTTTTCTCCTGTTAGAAACTATCAAGTCAAGAAATCATATATATAATTACCTGTTATATTTATTTATAGAAATAAATATAAAATTTGTTGTTTTATATATATGTACACATTATTCATATATAAAATTATATATGTATAATTTATATATGTTAAATGGCTTTTTTACTGATTGATGGTTGATTATAGAATTGTTTCTCTTAACTTGATTTATAGGCACCTTTATAGCATAAAGAAGGGTTTTTTTGAACTTGCTAAATTACATTAGATCAAACTATGAACTTACAATCTCCAAACGGTTTTGAACTCTAACATGGGAGTTCGTAGGGTTCATCTGATCAGGATGCCTGAGGTGCTTATAGAAGTTTATATTTGCAGCTCTATTTCTTAGTGGGTCTGGTATAGCAGCGCTGGATGACCAAAGACTGCATTTTTAACAAGCAGGTTTTTCTGATGACCAGGCAAACTTAAGAAATACAGGCGTGTCATTTGTAGTTGAGTAAACACCTGACTAAATGTGATGCTTAAGGAAGTTTATATTGTTATGTGGGTCTAGTGTATTTAATGTAAAATCTATTAAAACTGGTTTTCTCTTTCTTTGGGCCTATAGCTCACCTCTCTTACAATTATGTGTGGCCGAGGGTCTAACTTCTCTCCAATGAAATGTGAACAGAACGGGGTGTAAGCAGCTAGTGGACCTGGCCCACCCTTTACTCCTTGCCTTCACTCCTTTATATCCTTTCATCTCTCACTGTCTAGATACAGAGCACTACAAAGTCCTAGGCAACAGCAGAGTCACAAGATGGAAAGAAGTCCATCCATGAATGACCACATGGAATGAACCATCTCACCAATGTGAATACTTGCTCAGGTCTGTGATCTGAGCAAGCAATAGAATTCTAATAGTTTAAATCTCTGTATATTAGAGCCTATTTGTTATAGCATCCTATCCTATCTTGTGTGCTGCCCTCATTAAAAAAAAAACACCACTTAAAAAGTGTTGGCTTAGCCATTAAGTGGCAGGTGATAAAAAACAACAACACAGAACAGGCTGGAAAGTTAAAGATCTATGTTCTTCTGTGGAAAAATATTTTACAAGGCTGTTGTCTGTGAAACATGGAAGATAAACCTAGTCCCTGCAGAGTTTATAACACTCGAAGGAAAGGTTGGGAAGGGCCAGAATTCTTACTGTGTTTAGCAAGGTGTTACAAGGAAGAAAAGAGCTGAATTTGTTGTTTTTAAAGCAGAGATAAATAGAACACATATTAATGGCCTAATATAATTGGAAAATTGATTATTTTTAAAAGATATTTATTTATTGTCCTGACTCTTGTGCTCATGGTTAGAGCATCATCCCGAGTATCAAAGGGTTGAGGGTTCGATTCATGGTCAAGGGCACGTGCCTGGATTGTGGGTTTGCTCCCCCCTCCCCTCCTCACATCCTTGTCACATTGGGACGATGCTTTGACCAACTGAGCTACCTGGCCAGGGGAAATTGATTATTTTGGGATTCCACAAATAAAAGATACAATTAAAAAAAGGTTTGAGCAAAAAAGAAAAAAAAGGATTTGAGCAACAATATTCATTAGTCCATTTAAATAGGTTATCTCTGAGTCAGAGCTAAGACCCAGCAAGTATTGCCCTTCTATATAAGCCTACTGCTTCACAGGGCCTCCAGGTAGCCAAGGTTAATTTGAGAGCAAAAGGCATTGGTTAGAGGAAGCAGACAAATAACACATGTTTAAGAAATTATGTCTAGAAAAGACACTTCAGGCTTAGATGTGGTTGCTGACACATGGAACTTACCAGAAGCCCAGTAAAATTTGGAGAGAGTTGTATTTCCAAAGAAACGTCAAGCTTGGATTAAATATGCTATGACTACAAAAAAACCAAAAAAACCCAAAAACCACTTGAGCCCCCAAACTGCACACGTAAGAAACAGGCTCTGAAGTTGTGCAGCCCCCAAGGAAAACATACCCTCTAAGGTCCAATTCAGATGTGAGTCCTACAGGATAATGGATGAGGAAGAAATACCTCCTGAAGAGCCTCGCCAGAGAAAGTCAAGAATAATGGATGAAGGAATGCCTCTCAGACAACGGCATTAGGATCAATTCCCCCCACTTCCAGGACAGGGTCTTCCCTGTGTTTGCCTTCAGGGGTCTGTTATTGCTATGTGTCACCCCTTCTTCCCTTTTCTGAAAGGGGGCTGGGATATTTTGGTTATCCCATCCCCACCTGTCATTGTCCAGGGGGTGATTGCACATATAGGAGAGATAATTAGTCTTCCATTGGACCACAGGAGCCACATCTCCATCAGATGGAAAGGACAGTGTGCCACCTGTAGACGCTGGACTTTGACCTGCTTCAGTGACAGGATGGGGCCCCGGGTGGTTCCTCTTAGGAAAAGGGTGAGTTTGTTTTGCCTGTGGGAAAAAGTGTGCAAGGGTATTTGGTGACTGGAGAGACTGATGCAGGCAGAGATGGCTAGTTTCCACCAAAATCCATTCTTCTCTCTTTTGGCCACGTAGGTGGGCTTCATTTCCCAGCCTCTCTTAGAGGGAGGTGTGGCCTTGTCACTAAGTTATCCCCGCCGGAGTGCTACTAGAAATGATGCCTGTCACTTCCAGACCTGGCCCCTAAAACTTTCTGTTCAAGTTTCTCCATGTTCTTTCTCATTAGGCTGCTTGGGTGCAGATAACTGGAGATCCTAGGGTCAAAAGATGCAAGAAGCCCAAGTCCCTAGATCACCACATGGAAGAAAGCAGCCCCACTGACTTGAATGCCCGCCCAAGACCATGACATTAGCAAGGGACACCCTTAACTGTGGTGTGAATCCCTTACATGTTTGGGTCTGATTGTGATAGCAGGCTAGCTAACATTGGCTTTTTGATTAATGTTATTAGCTTAAACCGATACACTGCTTACTTGTTTTTTACTGTTTCATGGCTTTCACTTCTTCCTTTGCAAAGTACCTGACCTTGGGCAAATTGGTAAATATCTTTGTGCCTTGATTTCCTCATTAGTAAAATTGGGAAAATAGTAGCACCTCATAGGGCAGTGATGGCGAACCTATGACACACATGTCAGAGGTGACAGCAAACTCATTTTTTTGGTTGATTTTTCTTTGTTAAATGCCATTTAAATATATAAAATAAATATCAAAAATCCTTGTTTTATTATGGTTGCAAATATCAAAAAATTTCTGTATGTGACACGGCACCAGAGTTAAGTTAGGGTTTTTTAAAATGCTGACACGCTGAGCTCAAAAGGTTCGGCATCACTGTCATAGGGTCATCGTGAGGAGGAAACCATTGATGTATGAAAATACAAGTGGGACTGAAGGACTATAGGAGTGTACAGTTGTCATTATTGCTATTAACATACACATTCTTATGGTGTTTGGGTTTCATAATTAATACTACCACATACTGAGGTTGGGAATGACGAACACCCTGAATGAAAGCTGTATTGTGAACCAAGACGAAATGCTGAGTGAATACGCATGAATCAGCTCTTTTTGTTTCGTGAACATTGGGCAAATCCAAAAGTTCAGAGTTTCAGGAACAATGCCAGGCTCTCCATGACTCACAGACGGTCCCTACTGAATTCATGATGGGATTTATCCTGACTGCGCTACACCCAGAAAATTAACTGTTTGGATTCTGCTAACATACCCAAGGGGTGGCGTGGATTTTTTGTTTGTGGGAAAGTCAGTTTTCTGCCTGATCAGAACCTGTATCCTCACACAGTGGGCAGGGCCTCCACAGACCTTTGTGATCATGTGCTCATGATCGATGAGAGAGACAGTCTCTGTTTTCTTCCCTGTCCTTTCCCGAGAGGCCTTGTGTTGTCCACCTTTACCTACATTGGTAGAACAGGCCGACTGTATCCAAAAACATAGACATCCAGTGTACCGAGCCCAATTTGCTATTTGACTCACAAAAAGAGAGAGAGAGAGATGGCAGATTTTGGGAAAGCCATCCCAGAGATAAAATATTGTTTACCTGAAGCCCAACCTCAATGGGCAGTTAAATAGAAAAATTTATGAAGCATTTCCTAGCTGGTCAGCGAAGGGAGCCAGGCTCTGTGGAACTAGAAGCCTCGGTTGCTGGGAGCCTGTCCGCTGCAGCCTGAATTGGTTACAGTCCTTGGTTTGTGGGCAGCTAACACTGGGAGGTAGGCAGGTTCTGCAGGTGCAGTTTCTAAACCCCGGAGCATGGCTACTCCTGGGTCACTCTGGTCATAGATACTTAATTTTCTTCTTCTTTTCTTCTTCTTTTTTTTTTACTCCTGAGAGAAGCAGTTTACAACTTACCACCTCTGCACTACACTTTTGCTTTCTGAGTGTAATTTCTACCCCTGGAGCCTCTGACCCTGATGGGTCTCATAGGCATCGCAGTGTAGACTGTGGAAGGATCTAGCCATATAATTCCTGTCACTGTGCCTTTGGTGTAGCCTCCAAGAGCCCAGAAAAAGCATTAGACACACATCACAGTGCTGCAAAAATGAGATATTGGGGGGTTGGATACCTATGAGACTGGGTTTTGAGCATGATTACATTTAGAAGGAATAGAGTGAATGAGTCCACTGGCCCATTCTTGTCTCCCCTTCACTAATTTCTTTTAGATTTGTGTCTAAAGTTAAAATCCTGGTGATTAATTTTAATGTCCCATGAGAGTTGTTTACGTTTCCTTTTGGCTTACAAAACATGATCCATTCTCCAGAGACTCTCAGGTATCTTTAGAAGGAACAAAAGAGAAACGACTGAGTAAATGTTCTCTAATGGGCAGAACTGTGTCACAGCCCTGTATAGGCCTGGAGCTTTTAAAATTTTCACTTTTTATTCTCTTATGTTATTCCCCCCCTGCAAATTGGACCCACCTCTGCTTTGGCCATTAACGTTATGATTGAATCTGCCTTGGACCCATCACCATTTAATTAGGTGGAAAAAGTTAGAACTGACTTTCAGATCTCTGTGAAAACTTCCTTTTACATATCACTCAGTTGATAGAGCAACTAGATTCCTCCCCTTTTCCATGAATTGTGTTAACTTCCTGCATAGGCAGCCTGAGTTTGCAATTAGCGGCTTAAAATGAGTTTCCAAACACAGGTGGTTTTCGACAAGCGGAATGGGTGATAGAAGAAAGAGCCACAGACAAAATCAACTCTGACTCTGAGAGTGATGGAAATGGTGCATGAGGTACATCTTTTCCAGATTTCAGCTGAATGGGCTCATTTCATACACCCACACACATAAACATACAAATCACGGTCACAGTCTAACTCAACATGCAGTCTGATTAAAGCTTAAAATGAACGTGCTATCCTGTTGTCATATCTTGTGAAATATTATTTGCTATTGACCCATCTCAGGGATGGGTTTGCTACAAAACTCAAAGCTATAGACAGGATAAAGATAGAATGGGAGAAGAAATGTGGTTGTTCCGTGGTAAGATGGGAAAGCTCTAAAGGTTGTTAGGGCATGTTGAGCCATCCTGAGGGGAATGGGAAGCAGGGCCCAGATATATTTCTTAGGTATACCTACCTATAAAAGGCATGGGTGACCCTTTCTACCATCATTCTACTGCCCCCAAATTTTAGTCCTAGCCTTTAGTTGAACTTGGGGCTACTCTGGAACATGCTCTTTACACAAGGACTTAAGTGTTTGAGTGTGCTATCCAAAATTTAGGCAGGCTTTTGGATATATGTAGGAATTTTAGTACATCCCATTTGTTACCAAATGAAATGTACACATTTAGACTTACATATTTGATAGATCTGATATTGGCTACTTAGGTTAAGCAAATTCAATGATGTATATGTATCACAATTCCAGCAGAGATGAAATGATTATTTAATATGTGAACAGAATAGTTCATATGTTACATAATAAATATATTAATTTTATATGTTCATTCCTAAAGAGATATCTACGGGATCAGCAATTTGTTCATTTATTCATCAAAGCTTTAATGGACCAGGAATTATCTTGGCACTAAAGGGCCCAAAATAAGGAAGGCATACTAATTCATTTATTCAATGCTTATCTATTGAGAGCCTATGTTGGGCTCTATTTTAGAAGCTGAGGGTAGAACAAGACAAAGTCTTTGCCCTTATGGAGTATTCATTTCAGTGTGGGATACAAATGGTAAGCAAATATAAGTATAATGTCAGGTAGTGCTAAACATTATGAAGAAAGACATAGCAGGATGAGAGGTTCAAGAGTGACTCTGCAGTCCCAGCTTGTTTGGCTCAGTGGATGGAGTGTTGGCTGCGGACTGAAGGGTCCTGGGTTTGATTCCTGTGGCGGGCACATACCTGGGGTTGCGGGCTTGATACCCAGTAGGGGGCATGCAGGAGGCAGCCAATCAATGATTCTCTCTCATCATTGATGTTTCTATCTCTCCCTCTCTCTTCCTCTCTGAAATCAATAAAAATATTTGGAAAAAAAGAGTGACTCTGCATGTGTATGAACGTGTTAACTAGCATAGTCAGTGGAAGTTGAGGAGGATCTGGAGAAATAGTGTCAGGCTGGATACTATAGAGGAAGAGCAAATACAAAGTCTTCCAGGGAGGACAGAGTTGAGTGTGTTTGAAGAATATCGAGATGGCTGGTGTGGCTAGAGCAGAAATACTGAAGAGCAGAGTTAGGAGATGACGTTGGAGAGAGAGCAGGGACAAAGTCATTGAGTGCCTTGTAGACCATGATAAATGATGGGGTCTGAGTGTGATGGGATTGGAGGATTTGGGGCTGTGGATAATCCCCCTGCCAGCCATGTGTAGAACTGACTATAGGGGACAATATTAGAAGCAGGGAATCTGGAGGTGTTTACACTAGTTTGGATGAGGAATGATGGTGGCTTGGACAAGAGTGAAGGAATGGAGGTGCAGAAGTAGTCAGGTTTGAGATATATTTTGAATGTTAAGCTATTGGCAGAGGTTGGATGGAGAGGAAGGAAGGCATGGTCAAAGGAAGAAAGAATTTAAGGAGAGTACCAGCGTTTTTGTTCTGAGCAACTGGGTTCATGTGTTTCTATGGGGAAGCCTGCGGGGGAAGTAGATTGGGGGAAACAAAAAGTTCTGTTTGGGTCAGGTTAAGTTTGAGATGCCTGTTAGATATCCAAGTGGACAGTTGGATATCTGAGTCTGGGTCTCAGGAGGTTATTGGGGGCGAAGTACATATTTGGGAGTCATCTGTGTCTAAGTAATATTTAAAGCCATGACACAAGATACAATCAGCCAGGGCAGGAGTGTAAATAAAGAGGGCCAAGGACTGAGCTCGGAGGAATGCTGGCACTTAGTCGCTCCGAAGAGATGGAGGAAGCAGCAGAGATGGAGAGAGACCTGCCAGTGAGGGCAGTAGAGAGCAGGAGAATGTGGTGTCTCTGAAACCAAGTAAAGACAGTGTTTCAAGGAGAGTAACAAACTATAAGAAAAGACTCCAAGAGACCAAGAGGAGGACCGAGCAGTGAACACTGATTTGGCAAGACATGACCCTTTCCCCCAGGAGCTCACAGCACAGTGAGATTGGGAACCTAAGATAAATTGTTATCCAATGGTGGAAGTTGTGTTCTAGAAATGTTAACACATTTCTGGAGATGGGTTGAAGATGGAGCAAGGAGCTCCCCTTGGAGTGTCAAGGAAAGCGACGTGGAGGAGATGTACTTTCAGATTCTGGTACATGAGAAAAAGGGGAAATTATTAAGTCTCATAAAACTGAAAAAAATTTTTTAGTTGGTTATTGATTTTTCTATAATCACTCATGCACAACTGATATTTCCTCTCCCAAGTGAATATTCCACTATTATAACTCCGTGCGTACATATTTATCAATTATCAATACTCATGATAACTGTAAGGCCAGTACACATACTCCATCACACCCTACTCCATTTGGAGGCTACTCTTGGAATTATATTTTTTCTTTGTTATAGTCTTTATCTTTTAGTGATATTTTCAGAACACTGGGCGATGCTCCAACCAACTGAGCCACTTTTAGTGATATTTTAATTCCCTTTTAAAGGTGTGTGTAAGTGAAGAAACCCTATTTTAATTATAATAGCTATGATGTACCTACCACCTACCACTGTAAGGCGCTGTTCTAAGAACTACATGTATTAATTTATTCCTCCCGCCAAAAAAAAATCCTAATACCTCTGTTATGTCTTTTATTTCTTCTGTGATAATTGAGGCACAGAGAGGTTGAGTAACTTGCTCAAGGTCACATAATAATGGCAGAGCCAGTATAAGAACCAGGCTGTCTGGCTCCAGAGCTTACCATTTTGAGTGGTATGCTATACTTCCATCCTTACTATTGTATCTCTACCTTCCTGGGGTGGGCATCTATTAGGG